CAAAAGGGCCTAAGCCTTGGTGGTGATTAAAGCAGTTTGAAGCCCCTCCCCTTGCCCCTCCTTCCTTCCTCCCTTCCTTCCTTTGTCAATACTCCCATGTATTGAGATGTAAGTATCAGTGGATAGTTAAGTCATTTTTCCAGTTTGATTATTTCTTTAGGTAAAATATTTAAGTTCAATAAAGTGTTAAGTTGACACCTTTATCTTTTGACTGCTCTCAGAAGGTGGAATTTATGGGAAACACAGGCTTTCTCAGTCTGCAGCATAAAGAGCTGCTCATCACTTATCACTAGTAGCGATGGGGATTGGGGTTGAGGGTGGGAGGATGTAAGTAGTGAGGCTAGGCTGCTGTTGAATTTGCTATACTTACTGAAGACCCCTGGATCCATGGACTTCTCATTATGCTCTCCCCTGGGAAGGTGAGAGTAGCTGACTCAGGTTATCCTTCAAAAAAAGTATGAAAAGAAAAAAACCCAGCAAATATTACAGTGGATTCTTCATTGGAAGTTAGATATTGTAGATTATCTGTTCTGTTTAGTAGGGTATGCTTTTACACATGCTTCTACGCATGTTGCGATATGTCTATTCCTCTATCTTTTTCCCCCACATTGGAAATTTATAATGGAAGTTGTAATTTATGTTGAAATGTTGTAGTGGAGCAAGCATAAAAAGTCAACACCAAGACAGAAGTGTGCCAAATTGCAGGGTCTTTATTGCTGGCGGCCACGGAGGACTTTCGTCTCTCCAACCCGTGGCCCTGAAAGGAGGGTGTCAAGACCTTTTATACCCGTACAACCACCTCAGGAGTGAGGGTGAGGGACAGGGGTGGGGGTGAGGGGCTTCAGACATTCCGAGGGCTAGTAGATTCTGTAAATCACCTCCTGGGCGTAGATGAGGGTGAGGGGCTCTGGACATTCCAGTGGATTTCTGGGCGAAGATGAGGGTGGTGAGGGGCTCTGGATAATCCAAGGGCCAGGGGACTTTTGACATTCTGATTGTTACTTAAGTGGTTCACAAAAGTCAAGATAAGCATTTGTTTACACATTGTCTGGGTAGGGTGGAAATTGCAAGTCACAGGGGCCAAGATGACGTGGGTTTGGACTGCTTGCCTGTCACATTTGGGTTACAGAGAGCAGTTTCAACAGAAAGCCAAGGTATGGTTGAGGTATGCAGGTTTATGAGGCTTTTTACCATGTCACAGAAATATAGTTCCTTATTTCATTAGGAATTGGCAAATGATGACTTCGTTACTTTTCTTGAAAAGAATTCAACCAATATTTAAAAAATACCAACAGCTTTAGCCTACTATTAGATGTAGAGGTAAAAGGAAAATCCCAGGCATGAAATGAAATTTGAGTCTGGCTAGAAATGCACTGATTTCATGTTGCTATAACCCAATTAAACCCCTGTGGCTTGACACAGCTGTAGCTTGGTGGCATGGATCTCCTGTGTCCTCCCACTGCTCCCTAGGGATTCCTGTTCATGACACTTAATCACCCTGCTTTGTCTGAGAGGGCAGGATTTGTGTCTGTCCTGTACATGTTGTGTGTCCAGTACCTAGGCAGCATCTAGTCCATAGGTAGTGCTCAGTACACATTTACTCAATGAATAGATTTATTACTGTTTAAAAATCTATTTTCTGAGCAGAAATTATAACTAAGAAATATCTATAATGCAAGTATATATAAATGTGAATAAAAAGTTTTTTGAATTATGTAAGGATTTGGAAAAAGAGAAACTTATGGGTATGCATGTGTGTGTGTGTGTGTGTGTGTGCACGCGTGCGCACACATACACATACCTTCCAGATTTATTATATTGTTCAAATGCACATGATAAATAAAAAATACCTGTTGCCTGTCTGCCTCACCATTTCTCCATCAAAAAATCACTGCTATATTAAGGATGACGTTGAAGCAATTACTGATTTAGCTCTGACCTTCTTTCCCTACATCCGTTATATTCCGATCCAGCCATTTTCCTTATTAGACTGCCTCCTGAATATTCCATTTCAGTATCTTTCTTATTTAGATTTAATATCCAGAATGCTCTCACAAGCAGATTTTCTACTTAAATATGCTGAACTTTAGAAATTGATGGATGTTTGTGATCTATATGTCAATGTGAAAAATGAGAGACAGAGCATATTAGGATTTCCGTTTATATAAGCTTATAATAGCAGTTCACTGTTAACATGTATGAAGAACATTGTGCCTTCTATAGTTAGCATAATCTTCTGATGAGATTGTCAAAAGGGGCTGATTATAATCAACTTAGTAAATATGTACCACAGTAAATATTTAAGAAATTACATTTTTATTGTAATTGGAGTTTTAAGATAAATTATTTTAATAAACTTTGAGGAGGAATATGATTTGTCCTTAGGGTTTCATATTATCAACAGTGATTTAACACAGTCTACAAAGATTGTAAAACCATATAATTCTTTATCCTAAGGAATTAGAGAGGGTATTGCAACTAATTAAGGTGGATCACAGTATAAATTTCTTTTTATGCATCTGTTCCTTTCTTTGAATGTTTGGAGTAAACAAAAAATAAATAATTAAAACATACAAATACAGCTGGGAATGTTAAGCATACGTCTAGGATATAGATAAATTAGCATAAGTGTACTTATATAAATTTTTTTTATCTGGTGGGAAACAGCATGGGAGCTAGAAATTTATGAAAATGTTAAGTTTATAACAGGAAATTTCAACAAACTCTTATTGCAAGTCATCTCTTATTTTAACTTAAAAATTATAATTACATGTGTAACATCATATATAAAAGCACATTTCTAGGAATATTCCTAACTTTCAGCAAATGAGGAAAACTTTCAAAAATTCTTTTTTGAAAACACTGAATCTGACCCTAAAACATATTTAAAATTTTAATAAAATATGTGCTGTCAATAATTGTGTAATTAATGTTCCTGGCCATTTCCTACTTTATCACGCTGTGTATAAATCATCCAAGATTTTCTTGTATCTAAGATTTTCCCATTCTGTCTGAATCTTAAATATTCTATCTCGTTTTCCCCATAATAGCAAATTAAGTTATTATATGTTATATCTCACATTTTCATATAAAAACATGGGCACCACAGATATATGAGCTTGATAAGTTTTAAAATATGTAGAACATTTTTTCATGTAAATAGTTTATTGCATTTCCAAGTTTAATTGAACAATGGCTAAAATCAAGCTTATTTTGTTTGTACTATTTACATGGCCCTTTCACATGATCCACTTGAAAAGTAGTGCTGTGTATGATAGACATGTGGGCCTTGCTTTTCAAGAGCCCTCGTTGGGTCATTCAGATGATTAAACAAAAAACTGGCTTGCCAGCAATAATATTCAACAGGATGATAAATGTGGTGCTCTACTTACTGAATTTTAAAATATCTCTACCCTAAACCCATTGAAATCATAGATGTGTGGTTCAGTTATGATTCAGACCCCAGCCCTGCTGTTTGCGCTGGGATTCTAGCTTCCTTATTCCATTCTGAATTCTGCTGTGTCCAGGCAGAATTTGCTACAAGGAACCAAGTTCTCAGGAAGCTACTGGTGGAAGTAGCAATGCATTTGCTAAGAGACTCCGTTTCCCACTTAAGGTGATTAAGAGATTTTTATGTAAAATTCTGAGAGACAACAAGTTTGTCTTTGAAAAAAATTCTCTTGTACTTTTCACTAATGTTTGGTGTTAACTGCCCCCTTCCCTTCCCTGATGAACAGATCCCACGCTTCCTGTGCAGGTCATTAACAGAGCCAATCAGCTGGTGTGAATGAACTAAAAGGATTCTTTTACTTCTCCCAGGATCGTTCCTTTAAACTTAGGAAAAAATTTAAACTTTTCCTTTTCCCTTTCTTAATTTAAAAGTTACTTCCACTAAAATACAACTCCTAGTCCTTGTAATCCTAAAGCTGAGACTTCCTGGTTGGGAGAAAACATTTTATGCTATGGCTTGTTAGTGTGATGGAAGGACATGGGAAGACAAAAACAAAGACAAATAAAAATTAAGAAAAAACAAAAAACCTATCATCTTGTGACTTTGGTTACCTTGAGTGGCCCTCTAAGTAAACTGGCCCAACCCTAACTATATAGCTCCCACATTCCCAGCCAAAGTACAGTGACTGAATTGTCAATAAGAAATAGCTTAAGATACCCTAAGAGTTGGAATTTTCAAAGTATTGAAAGAAGAAATTATAATTCATTTGCAACTTCTGTCACCTAGATCTTAATTCCCTTAGTAGCTCAAGCGACCTAGATCATGTCAGATGAAAACGTGCCTGATTACTCATTGATAACAATGATGGGTACAGACAGCTTTGTAGAGCTCCTAAACATTTATGGGTATGTGTGTTGTATGTAGTTATCAATGAATAATAACCTTAGGCTATTGTTATAACAGTGATCCTCATCCTATGCCCCTGAAATAGACAGGGCAGGCATTATATCCATTTTACAGATGAACAATCCTTGACTCACAGAGATTAAATGACACACCCAGACTGCCACAGCCAAGGGAGAGCTAGATTAAACCCTAGGCCACCTCTATGCTAATCTCATATCTTTCTACTATGTGGTAGTTCCAGTCACTGGTAATCCTGTGAGACCTTCAAGGAGTCCTTCATGGCCTGGGTTATACCTCATTGCTCTGTAGAAAAACTTCAAGGCCAAAACAATTTATTCAAATTGTTCTGTATAAATACAACATATTCCATGAACAAATGTCACTTTCCTGGGATCATGAAGACCATAAGACTCCTCCATTTTTGTTCCATGGTCCTGGCAGATGAGTAATTAATGTTTTGATAATTTTTAGCACTTTTAAAATCAAAATTTGTACAAAATTTAAAAGAACTGGCAAATCACTAATCTAACATTTAGTCTTTCATATATTACTATACACTCCATATTAGCTTAGACAATAATCAAACTTATAAGCTAATCTTTACCATTGCTGTTTTAAACATGATGGAACTAAACTTAGAAAGTTTTAGTGGCTTACCTAAAGTCATGCAGCTTCTAAGTCCCAGAGCCATGTTGACCGCAGGAACACATCCCTACAGTTGGGGCAGATTAAGGAAGGAGAACTGGAAAATGGCACTGAGGAGACTTTTGGTAACACGTAGGAGAAACTGAATGAGAAGCTCATGTGAACAAAGAATAGAAAACATAGTAACTTGAGTACAGACTGAACTGATAAACTAATAAGGGTAACTTAGGATGAGGACCAGATGTTTATGCATGAAGCTATTCATTTAATGATAGTATTTGGTTGGTTTGAATTTTGACGAACAGAAGTAAAAGAATGAAGTTTTCTATTCATTGGAGTTGGCATTTTGTTTTTGGAGTATTTTAAGAATAAGCATTCCCAATTCAATCAATCATGTGCTACGGAGCAGTGGTCTTTTTACTCCAATTTTCATACTCCTGCACATATATGATATTTTTCCTAGGGGTGGGTGGGTATAGACAGCTTTGCGGAACTTGTAAACATTTATGGGTATGTGTTATATGTAGTTTGATAGATACTGTTAAATTCCCCTTAATAGGGATCGTGCAATATTTTATCTCCATCAGCAATGTACATATGAGAGTGCCTATTTCCCAAAAAGATATGTTCATCGATTTGATATCCAATTCTGAGGCAGGTGTTTCATGGACCTTACTTGCAGAAACATAGTTTAGAAATCATTTGTAATAGAGCCCAAAAGAGATCAAAATATTTCTTGTGATTGCTATTAAAATATTGATTAAACTGTATTCAATTTGTGATCTTGGAGCATAAGTGAATTGCATCTGTATTCCAACGTATTCAATTTATGGGGGACAAGGATTAGTAACCATGAAATTGATTACATTAATAGAATAAAACTCCCCCAAATATCAAAGAGAGAAAATAATCGGCATTGGCAGCACAAACATAGGATTTTTAAAAAGTAGAAGCCACAGAAGAAAGGGGATGAACAAATATACCAGTGTTACAGCTATTTTGAAGGTATGGTATCTGTTAACTTAGAGAAAGCATGTATAGACATTTTGGCAGTATTATTATTGGTAGTCAGATAACTGGTATCCAATCTGTAAATGAAGGAAGGCACAGCAAACAGGAAAGAAATAGTTATGTTGACTTTTGTGAAATCCATTTGGTAACATTTAGAAGATGATAATGAATAGACAACTAAGATTGAAGAACCATAAAATGTGCATGTGCTGAAAATATTACAAGTGACTAAATAATAAGTGTTAGTGCTACATTTTTAATGGACAGGTTTTTGTTTTACTTAGACTAACAAATGTATAGTAATTATTTCATATCCACCAGCTATTCCACTTGCAGTCGAAGCATTTTGAGGGATACTTTGTTTTTTAAGTTCCACATGTGTCTTGATTGTAATGTTTCAGGTTATCTTTTCACTTAGGCTGCCCTGTTTTCCTTCTTGGTTCAATTCTAGTCCAGCCAGTTAGTTCCAGTTCATGCTCAGTATCTCTAGCTGCCCAATTGCACAAGGACTGTCACCCTGATCCTGGAGTTTCCCAAGACAATGTTTGACCAGGAATTGCTGCTGGTCTCCATCTAAAATGCCAGGCATCTCATGGCTTTTTGAGAAAATTGACTCATTCTCTGTTGGTTGCAACCTCTGAACGAACTGACTGTCATCCAGAGTCAGGGGCAAAGGAAGTTTCTTGTACGAAGCGTGGATGTCATTGGTATGTTGCTGACAATAAGGTTCCATTTTGCTTCTTTAATTCCAAACAAGGGGCCACTTGTGCCATGCGGTTTCCCATTCATAAACACATCGATTTCCACCCTTAACCAGGGGCTTCTTGAGAAAGCTGTGAAGCTAAAGGCTGCTCCTGGTGTTCCACAACCACTGTTGACATTCCTTGGTGCTTTTACCCAGCAGATGATTCATATGGCTACACCATAAATGACCAACCTGAAAAGACAGATCTAGCATGGAGATATATATTTTCTAGAACTTTAAAGAATCATTTCTCTCATCTAAAATTTCTGATCTATGCTCATGGGCTTATTTGGTACAGGATGACCTGTCATCCTCAGAGATTACATTCTATTTTGATTTGCTATATCCTGGGACCTCAGAGCCTTCACAGTGAATGAAAAAGCCGAAAATGCATGGCTTTTTGCTTCTTAATCATTTGTACTTCTAAATCATTGTCAACTCAACTGTTGAAGAGGATGTTACACTTTTTCTTCTTTCTCAATCAGTTGCATGGGCCCTGATAAATAGCCTGAAATACTCGTTATTTTGTGTAGAGCGATGATTCATTGCAAACAAGTTGGGCTAACGTAAAATTCTTGTCATTTATGGTATCACGTGAACCTTTTGAAAAAAAGCTTTCTTTGTGTTGCATATTTTTGTGAAGTATGAGACAGCATTTAATTTTCAGTGAAATGACATGAAAACTTAAGAATGAAAAACTGCCCCTAACAGCAACTATTTTATAACATCCGAAAGCACACTCTAAAGTAATCAGAGTACTTATTCTAATAAATAAGTACAAAAATAACTCAATTACAAATGTTATGCTTAACTTTTGTAAGGAAAAAAAGATATTAAGTTTTTATTAAGATTCTCAAGAGAAAAGCCAGATTTAATGTCGAATGTCACTTAAACCATTAGTCCATGCACTGATTTTTGGAGACTAGATTCTTAATTTTGAAGTGTTGGATATTTTCTGGGAAATGTATGGAATGTATACAATTGTGGCATTTACTTAGTTGGAGCTGAGCAGAGTGTTCTGAAAGCTAACTTTACTGCAATTTCTGTTTAGAATTTATGAGCTATTTTCTCTTTATATTGCATGACCAGGGCTTAAGAACCATGTGAAAATCTGGTTTTTAGTTACACTTCTTACTGTGAAGTAATGTAAAATTGAATGATGATGCTTTGGGGAAAAGATTTGGAGGACCGTCCTCTTTAAAGACAAAGGCAAAAAATGACTATGGAGACACAAGCAAGAAGCAGAAGGGTAAAATCTGGGCTCAGAGGAGCTGATTTGTAACAGGATAGAACAGGGTAGTCTCAGAAATACAATGAATTCCAAATTCAAAGAAGAGAAGAAAAATATTACATTTGATTTTTATTGCTTCTGGACCTTGAAAGTCCTCTGCTTTGAGGAAATCAGACTACTTTACAGGCAAGAAAATAGAACTTGATTGAGCTAACTTATATTATATGCTATTTTCTGTTACTCTAAATTTGCCATTGGTTTGAGTTTTTACAGATTTTAGCAAAGACCATTATGGGAAACGTTTTGAATACTGATTAAAATCTGAAGTTAAAAGAAAGATTTCAGGAAAAGTAAGAGCAGTAAACCATAAAATTGAATAAAATAAATAAAAATCAGGCAAGTTAAATCATTAGCAAATTAAATTCTGTCTGGGAACAGAGGTTAAATGGAACAGAATTGCCTGAGAGGTGGGAGAACTTTGAGCAATTCACTGAGACGGATTGTTAGTGTCTTCATTGTCTGAGCTGTCTCTGTCTTATTTGTAATGAGTACCTAAACCAGCATTTAATTCTGGGCCTGGGAGATCTCATTATGTCCCAATTTTAACATTAGATCATTTTACTTACTGATTTTAGACAGCTCCCAAATTGTAATGGATTCCTTGTGAATCAGGTCTTTGGAAAGAATCTTCCAGAGCAAAACAATATAAGAGGAGCTTTGCCACACTAGACTAAAAATTGTGGCCCTCACTAATACTATACCTGAGGAAATGGGCCTCTGTCCTTGAACCTGCCTCAGTTAGAGTGGGTGTTTGCATGGTGGTGATGGTGGAGACAGTGGTGATGGTGGTGTTGATTGGAGGTTCAAGCAGCTGAGATGTGTGACCGTTTCACAGACAGTTGTGCAGGGTGAGGAAGGAGGTTAGCACTAGGAAGACAGAAGCTGTTCCTGGAGCTTCAGCGATCACCTGAGGTCGCCCACTGATGACTTCTAAGGCAAGGTTTTAGAAGCTGTTGACGGCTGACTGAATATGACTAGAGGGAAGCCCCCTGTTTATTATTCCCTTCTACTATAGAAAAGACTGTATTGTGATCAACTAAGTCAGACTTAGAGGATCATTTTTTTAATTGTTGTAGTTTTTCCTATTCCTAGAGATATACTGTGAAGGGAATTAGTAGCTGTTTCTTATTACCACTGCAATATCTAACATCCAATCCTCAATGTTTTTGCTTTTGCTTGGACATGTTTGTTTTAATTTTCTTTTCCTTGTTAGAATAAAGTATTTATTTCTCTGTTTATCAACATTCTTTTAACCTAAGGAACTACATTCATTTGTAAAAATAAATATGTTTCATTTGAGCTAATAAAATCAGTTTATCTTATACGATAATATTAAGTAAATGTGATACTAAATCTCTGTTTGGAAATGATATTTCCCCAGTTGCAATAGGATATAGAATTTCATAATTCAGATCAGCTCCAATTTAAGGTAGGTGGAACTGATGGTCTATATTTTTCATGAATACAATGTTTCTTAATGGAAGATTTCAAATATCATAACATCATTTGATTAAGTACCTCATGATATCTTATTTTGGCAGTAACTACAAATTTCCCATTTTACTTATTGGTAACATTAAAACTGAACATAACATTAGAATTAGATCATTTTTTTAAAATTAATACAATTTTTGCTCTTCTAATATGTTTTAGATTTATGATTCTAGTAATAAACTATTTGAAGTTCCACTTAATATTGGTTTTCCCTTAAATGAGGCTGCTGATACAAAATGTAACAGGGAACTGGTAAATGATAGGTTCTCTCAATTCAGAGTTGTAAGAAAAAAGACGACGACAGTTTTGTAAGTATAATTTGTGCTAATATGATCTTAGTTTTGTCATTAGAAACAGCACATGCCTGGAGAAGTTATGGAGGTTTTGGAACTAGCAAACTACGAAATGTGTTAACTTTAAAACTATATGGTGAGTGGGAAAACTTTTTCATTTAGCTTCTTGTTAAATTGTGTACTCAGAAGAATTGAGTTTTAAAAATGGTTGTCATTCTGTTTTAAAATTCTGTGTTCCTTTTCAGTTCTGATTGAACTGATACATGATACCTGTTCAATAAGTATCAACTGTTATTGTTGCACTGTTATATTATTAATCAGTGATGATATTCTTGACCATTGTGGTAATTAAAAACATATGCTTAATAGTTCAAAAAATATCATGTCAATTTTTGCTTAGGATTTCTAAGTTTAGCTA